GTGTCATATTGGTTTCCTCCTTATTCTTTAAAAATAGTAAGTTAATTCCCACTTCAAGGTCTCTATGTTTACTGTTTCTCTGCCTCACATGCCCTCCCTTAATTCTTAACTAGCTGTTCTTATCCTTCACAACTCATTTCATTGGGAACTTCTTTAGCATCCTCTCCACAAGTGTCCTATTCATATCTCCCTGTTTATTTCCTTTATGGTACACTCTGAGCACTGAGCACAAACTTTTTTTTTTTAATAGCCAGAAAAGCATTGTTTCTAATTATGAAAGTCTAAGAGTTGCTTATTTTAGCTGTTGAAGAAGCAACGGGTGTTATATTTAATGTAACCATTTAAGAATGGAGTTAGAGTTGGCAGATTTGACTTTTTACTTCCTTCCATTGTACTTTCTAGGTCTACAAATATATATATTGAGTGATTGAGTGATTTGTCAGTGAACAAATCAGCCATATTTAAATATAATTCATGATAATTTTGTATTTTTAATGTTATAAAGAGAAAGCTTATGGTATAGACCGTGTGGGGTAGCACTGGAGTTGGATAGATAATTTTCAGTTTCAGCCCTTAAATTCATTCATCTGTGATGGTGCTTTAAAATTGGTTTATAAACAACTGTATTTAGCTTTTTGTGTATCAAAAGCTAGGAGAATTCAGAGGTAATAAATCAGAGGTAACAAAGATAGTGGATTGTTCTCAAAGAATGAACAGACGGGGTAGAGACACATAGGCAACTACATAGTCTGTATAACACAATATATATTAAGTGTAATAGCACAACATAGTATTTGATAGACTGATCATCTTCTAACTTGGGGATTTAAAAGCTGACTGTTTTTTTGGCTTTGCCTGTATAAGGAATACTCCAGGAATGACTATATTTGATAGTGAGATTTTATAGAGACAAGTATAACATAGTGCCCCTTTATAATTGTCTTTCCCCCCTTCCTTGTTTTTGACCTCATATATGCATTTTGTGTGGGATCATGACATAATAAATTACAACCTCACATATTGTAACAAAGTGTGATGATTAAAGCAGTGAAATGGTTTACAGTAAATATCTATAGCAAGATTTAATGTTAGGCCCACAGCTCTGTGGTCTCATAATTGGAATATTCCGTATCCTAATACCCAACCTTTTATAAGATCACTTGACCAAAAATGATAAAGATCCTCTGTCCTAAGTACCCAGTAAGCTTTTTATACTTCTCCCCTGTAAGTTAGCAGTAAGATCATAACTTAGCGTTAAAATATTATTTAAGATGAACTGTTGCAATGGAGACTATAAACCAATGTACCTGACTATGAGAATCAAGTTGGAGAGACTTTAGTAATAATCCTTATTCATGAAGTCCTTTGTTGATTTATTAATTCCTGTTGTTTATACTCATGTGAAATTTGGGTGCTTCTGAATGTGCTTTGTCAAATGTGTGATCCAGAAATCTATCTCAGTATGCTGTAAAACCTGTTTTAAAAATAGGTCTGAGCCACTCAGTGTCACTGAAAGTTTGTTGACACAATGGAAAACTATTAAATGAGTTTGCAGAACAAACTGTACCATTACCAAGGAAAGGTGTTTTTTTAAAAACAGAAATTGATTGTATTTTTATTTTTGTAGCTCCAAATAAATACAATGAAAATATTTAGAATTCTATCAAGTGCACTTTTATAGTTGACTCTTGAAATTTATTTCTAAGTTTGGCTTGATTTAAGCCAAATATAAAATGAATGTTCTTCTGGATAACTTTATTTGAGGCAGACATTTTCCTCACTTTCATTTGTAAGGTTTTAAAAAGATGATTGTAAGTAACCATTTAAATATTCCTAAAAGTGTTTAATGTCTCATTGTTTTTTTTTTTTTT